AGAGAGAGAGAGAGAGAGAGAGAGAGAGAGAGAGAGAGAGAGAGAGAGAGAGAGAGAGAGAGTTCTTCTTCTTCCTCTTCTAAGTCCACCATCTCATCTTCACCCTCTCGCTACCTGATTTCTCAGTATCTGCGGACTACGAGAGAGAGAGAGAGTTGTGACTTTGGGACTTGACGACATTGGATCCAGACTCGACATTGGGATTCAGACATATGACGAGGGATTATTTGGGGCCTGTGCCGAAGACTTGGTGTTGACGACATTCCCATCTTCCCCTCTTCTTTGTCTAACCCCTCTTCTTCGTCTGTGTATGGTTGGGGACTGGTGCATTCTTCCTGTGTGAGCGCCAGGCCCCTTCACACCATGGAATGATGATGATGTATGTTTGGAGCTGCATTGCAACATTGATTGTTCGGATCATTGGTACCTAAGTCTTCCGCTACGCTATCTTGTACTTCGTAAGAGAGGTCGGTTCTTGTTCTGGTCTGCACCGTTACGGTATGCAACAGTCTGGTATCGGAGCGGACCTCTCAATCAGAGGACCCGCTCCATCGAGTAGCCAGCTTGCTTGATCTATTGATTGTTTATTAGTAAATCAAGTAGGACTTCGTCAAATCTTTGATTTTTTTTTTCCTTTTCTTTCTTTCTCGCAACAAATTTCTGAAAAATCCTGATAATAGCATTTCGTTTTAATCTGAAAATTTCTGATATTAGCATTTAGTTTTCACGCAGCAAATATCCGAAAATTTCTGAAAGTAGCATTTCATTTCTCTGATATTAGCATCCGAAATTTCTGATATTCGCATACATAGCCGAAAATTTCTGATGTTAGCATTTCGTTTTCTAGGCATATCAGGATAACGATAGAGGTGGTCATATTCTCGGAAACCGGATTTATTCTTTTCTGAAAATCGAATCTCCATTCTATCTCGCAATTGTTTTTTTGAAAACCGAAATCTTGCGAAGCCTATCAGCATTTCGTTTTTAGGCATATTAGGAGGTTGTCATATTCTCAGAAACTGGATTTAGTTCTTTTCTGAAAATCGCATCTCTACTCTATTTCGCACAATTTTTTTTTTTCAGGATCGCAAACTTTGCGGAACCTGGCCTAGATCTCGCTCATAGTACTCCTCTGACATGCCTCACTCATAACAGATCGACAGGTATACAAAAAAAAAAAGAAAAAAAAAAGGGGGGTGATCCTCTTCTTTTATCTTTTTATTTTATTTTATTCTGTTGATTAGGACCGGGAGGAAAGTATAGCTTGCTTGGTTACCTACCTGCGTTTTCCCTCCCACCCAACCCTTTGCCTGCATTCCCGGTTTGGTACAGTGCCACGTCAGCAGCAGTGCCACATCAGCAACAGTGCCACGTCAGCAACAGTGCCACGTGAGTAGTGCCACATCAGCAACAGTGCCATGTCAGCAGGGCCACGTTAGCAGTGCCACATCAGCAACAGTGCCACGTCAGCAACAGTGCCACGTCAGCAGTACCACGTGCAACAATCCACCGCATGCACGGTTTCACCACCATCGGCAATCGCCGCCATCTATCGCCGGGGATTCGACGTCATGGTCAAGACTTGAAGGGCTCGACCCATTGACGTTTGCGGACTTCCAATGGATGCCCCTTCCCCCGTCCGGTCGATTGCCGAAACCGCATTGCAACGTGCTCATGGCACAATTGCGGGATTACTTGCACACTGCAGTACCAACTCCGTTGATGGACGCCAGAGTAGAGGTTGTCGACCTTCACGACTACGTTGCGAAGATCGACCGCGAGTGCAAGACACAACGGTACAACGACATCAACGCGCCATTGTTATATATACGCATTCAGATCGGAGAGGCGACCTGCAGCGCTTTGATCGATTGCGGAGCTATTCGCAACTACATGAGCCAAGACTGTATGGTACGCGCTGGCCTTGGGCCACGCGTTCGGAGGAAGTCGCAGCCCACGCAAGTCACGTTGGCCGACGGTCACACGCAGAAGTCAATCGACCGGTGCATTGATGCCATCACCGTGTAGTTTGCCCCGCATGCAAGCGAGGCCGTGTCCTTCGACATTTTGGACACCAAGTTCGACATGATCTTGGGCATGTCATGGCTGCGAGGCGAGGATCACCTGGTGAACTTCTACCGCCGCACCGTTCATGTTCGTGACCGAAACGGAGTACTAGTCCCATGCACGGTGCCTCCTCCTCACCCTTCGATCAACTGCCACGTGGTGTCCGCCGCAAGCGAAGTGAGGATCACCCGGTGAACTTCTACCGCCGCACCGTTCACGTTCGTGACCATAACGGAGTGCTAGTCCCATGCACGGTGCCTCCTCCTCACCCTTCGATCAGCTGCCACGTGGTGTCCGCCGCAAGCATTCGAGCTTCCATCATCAGGGATGACATCGAGGAGATGGGTGTGTGTTTTCTCCACACCCTCCCGCCCCGAGACATCCCATCGACGGACTCATCATCGGACCCACGCATCACCGAGCTTCTCGACGCCTATGGCGACGTGTTCGAAGCCCCGCACGGAGTAGCACCGGATCGGCCCATCCGCCACGAGATCATCCTCGAGGCCGGGGCCGTACCTCCGTGTGGTTGTATCTACCGCATGAGCGAGGAAGAGTTAAGTGTGCTACAGGCACAACTCAACGACCTTCTCGAGAAAGGCTGGATTCGACCTAGCTCTTCGCCATACGGTGCCCCCGTTCTCTTCGTCCGGAAGAAGAACAAGGATTTGCGGTTGTGCATCGATTATCGCAAGCTCAACGCGCATACCGTCAAGAACGCTGGCCCTCTTTCGCGCATCGACGACCTCCTCGAACGGCTGGGCGGCGCCAAGTTTTTCTCCAAGCTTGACCTCAAATCGGGATATCACCAACTCGACATCCGGCAGGAGGACCGTTACAAGACCGCGTTTAAGACGCGATATGGGCATTTCGAATGGCTGGTTATGCCTTTCGGCCTTACGAATGCCCCAACCACATCCCAGTCGGCTATGACAACAGAGTTCCGACACATGCTGGATAAATTCGTACTCATCTACCTCGACGACATCTTGGTGTACAGCCGGAGTTTGGACAAGCATGTGGAGCACCGGCGCACTATTTTGGAGCGGCTACGACAACCCAAGTACAAAGCCAACCGCAACAAATGTGAATTCGCGCGGCAAGAGTTGGAGTACTTGGGACATTATGTGACRCCGCAAGGCATCCATCCGCTTGCGGATAAGATTGAGGCCATCCATGTATGGCCCAAGCCCACCAACACCACGGACGTTCGCTCATTCATGGGGTTGGCGGGCTACTATCAACGATTCATCACCGGGTACTCAAGGATTGCCGCACCTATGACGAGATTACAATCGCCGAAGGTGCCATTCGTATTCGATGACGACGCATGTCGGTCATTCCAAGCACTCAAGACGACCATGCTCATGGCACCCGTCCTTAGCATCTATGACCCCGCCCTGCCAACAAGAGTGACAACTGACGTTTCCGGCTATGGCATTGGGGCAGTCTTGGAACAACACGACGGCGATGACCGGCACCCCGTGGAGTATTTCAGCCACAAAGTGCCTCCCATCAATTCACTTGATGATGCAAGGAAGAAGGAGCTGCTCGCGTTCGTGATGGCTCTCAAGCGATGGCGGCACTTCCTCCTTGGGTGTCATAGGTTCACATGGGTCACGGACAACAACCCATTGACCTACTATAAGATGCAGGATACGGTGAGCAGCACGATCGGACGATGGATGTACTTCATCGACCAATTTGACTTCACACCGAAACATCTCGNGATGCAGGATACGGTGAGCAGCACGATCGGACGATGGATGTACTTCATCGACCAATTTGACTTCACACCGAAACATCTCGCCGGCCTCTCCAATTGCGCAGCAGATGCACTCTCGCGAAGACCHGATCTTTGCGCTATGACACATCATGCCTTCGCATTCGACGAGGAGCTTCAACGACACTTCATCCGGGCATATCAGTCTGATCCGGACTTCGGCACGCTCTATGCACAGCTATCTTCGGATCACCCGCCGACCAGCCACTATCGCATCGTCGATGGGTACTTGCTCCTCCACTCGAGAGGCAAGGACTTCCTATGTGTCCCACGAGACCGTCGTCTTCGGACTCGCCTTCTCGGCGAGTACCATGACTCGCGACTCGCCGGCCATTTCGGAGTCAATCGCATTATTGCACGACTTCGGCAACGATTCCGATGGCCCGACCTCATTACCGATGTCACTCGGTATTGCGATTCTTGCGACGTTTACCGACGAAGCAAGCCCCGCAACTGCAATCCCTACGGCGAGTTGCGCCCGATGCCTATCCCACGGGAACCCGGCCTCTCCATCGCCATGGACGTCACCGGTCCGTTTCCCCGCAACCGGCTCGGGCACGACCACATCCTCACGGTCGTTGACCGTTTGAGTAAGTATGCGCGATTTCTTCCTTGCAAGTACTACGCCGCGACTCCCTAACTTGCGCGCCTCTTACACACCGGTTGGATTTGCAGCCACGGCGTACCGGACCACGACACTTGCTTCATGTCGGCATTTGAACTTCTCTCATGCAGGAATCCAACACGAAGATGAAACCAAGTTCAGCTCGGCATCCACAAACGGACGGGCAAACGGAGCGGGCTCATCAAACCGCTCAAATGATGCTTCGTACGCTCATCCGTCCGGATAAGAAGGATTGGGTTGACCGCCTCCCAGACATCGAGTTCGCCTACAACACTTCGTTGCATCCGACGATCGACGTGACTCCATTCGAGTTGCACCACGGTGGCCGGAAAGGCCGTATCTTCGCTGATCTTCTCCTCCCACGAACAGTCGACATAGACGCTGCTTGCTCCCCCGCTTCCGTCCGGAAGTACAGGGAATTGCTGGCTCAAGCCCGCGCGAACATGCAAAAGGCTCAAGTCCGCATGCAGCAACAAGCCAACAGGCGTCGCGTGCCATGTCCCATCTGTGCCGGTGATCTGGTGTGGGTCTCCGCGGAAGAGTTTGCACTCGAGCAGGATCTTTCATGCAAACTGCTTCCCAAGTGGTTTGGACCACGGCCCGTAATATCAGCCGCAGGCGATGAGCTCGATGGCCCCTCATTTGTCATCAACATCCCCCCGCATCTGACGGTCCATCCAGTCTTTCACGCCTCGAAGCTGGCGACATATACACCAGCTAAGAGCAACGACTTCCCGGGCCGACGATCGCAAGACCCTCCATCTATGGATGGTCATCAGGAAGTTGACCGCGTCATCTCCGATCGCAAGTACGGCAGCAAGCCTCGACAGTACAA